TGGTGAAACCTTTTCTCTACCAAAAATACAAAAATTAGCCAGGCCTGGTGGCACATACTTGTAATCCCAGTTATTCGGGAGGGTGAGGCAGGAGAATCGCTTGAATCCAGGAGGTGGAGATTGCAATGAGCCAAGATCACGCCACTGCACTCCAGCCCGGGCAACGGAGCGAGACTCCGTCAAAAAAAAAAAAAAAAAAAAAAAGACCAGGCATGGCACAGTGGCTCACTCCTGTAATCCCAGCACTTTCGGAGGCCAAGGAGGGTGGATCATGAGGTCAGGAGTTTGAGACTAGCCTGGCCAATGTGGTGAAACCCCGTTTCTACTAAAAATACAAAAATTAGCCAGGCATGGTGGTGCTCACCTGTAGTCCCAGCTACTAGGGAGTCTGAGGCAGAAGAATGGCTAGAACCTGGGAGGTGGAGCTTGCAGTAAGCCGAGATCATGTCATTACACTCCAGCCTGCGTGACAGAGCGAGACTCTGTCAAAAAAAAAAAAAAAAAAAAAAAAGTTGCTGTTCTACCTTCTTATTGGCTAGGCACAGCGACTCGCCCCTGTAATCACAGCACTTTGGGAAGCCAAGGCGGGCGGATCACCTGAGGTCAAGTGTGCAAGACCAGCCTGGCCAACATGGTAAAACGCCGTCTCTACTAAAAATACAAAAAATTAGCCGGGCTTGGTGGACGCCTGTAATCCCAGCTACTTGGGAGGCTGAGGCAGGAGAATCGTTTCAACCTGGGAGGTGGAGGTTGCAGTGAGCCAAGATTGTGCCACTGCACTCCAGCCTGGGCAACAAGAGCCAGACAAGACAAGACAAGACAAGACAAGACAAGACAAGACAAGACAAGAGCCTGGGCAACAAGAGCTAGACAAGACAAGATAAGATAAGATAAGATAAGATAAGATAAGATAAGATAAGATAAGACAAGACAAGACAAGACAAGACAAGACAAGACAAGACAAGACAACACAAGACAAGACAAGACAAGACAAGACAAGACAAGACAGACAAGACAAGACAGGACAAGACGGAAAGGAAAGGAAAGGAAAGAAAAGAGAAAAGAAAAGAGAGAAAGAAAGAGAGAGAGAGAGAAAAGAGAGAGAGAGAGAGAGAGAAAGAAAGAAAGAAAGAAAGAAAGAAAGAAAGAAAGAAAGAAAGAAAGAAAGAAAGAAAGAGAGAAATAAAAGGAAAGACAGAAAGAGGGAGGAAGGAAGGAAGGAGAAAGAAAGGAAGGAAGGAGCAAGGAAGGAAGGAAGGGAGGGAGGGAGGGAGGGAGGAAGGGAAAGAAAGGGAAAGGAAAGAAAAGAAAGGGAGGGAAGGGAGGGAAGGGAGGGAAGGGAAGGAAGGGAAGGAAGGGAAGGAAGGGAAAGAAGGGAAGGAAGGGAAAGAAAAGAAAGAAGTCACAGAACCTCAAGTGACAAGGTTCCCTCTACTCCATGTCCTTTGAGGGAGGGCAGCCTTTGTGAGGAAGGGGACCTGGGCCTGGGATCCTGGCCTCTGTTTTGATTCTGCCGCTGGCTGGCTGCCGTGTGACCTCAGGTGAGTTCCCCTCTGCGTCTCCATAACCCCATCCATGAGCTGGGCCAGCATTTGCCGCCTGGCTCTCCCCATGAGGCACTAACCCTCTGCCACCCCCACATGTGACCTCTTCCCCTTCAAGAGCCAGGAGGGCTGGGCGCGGTGGCTCATGCCTGTAATCCTAGCACTTCGGGAGGCCAACGCGGGTGGATCATGAGGTCAGGAGACCCGGACCACGGTGAAACCCCATCTCTACTAAAAATACAAAAAATTAGCTGGGCGCGGTGGCGGGCACCTGTAGTCCCAGCTACTCAGGAGGCTGAGGCAGGAGAATGGCGTGAACCTGGGAGGCAGAGCTTGCAGTAAGCTGAGATCGCACCACTGCACTCCAGCCTGGGTGACAGAGCGAGACTCCATCTCAAAAAAAAAAAGAGCCAGGAATCCCAGCCCATCCAGGCTGCATGGGGACAGTCAGCCTCCAATTCAGAACTTTCCAAGAATCTGAATGGAAGCAGGGCCAGTCCTCCCCAGTCCACTTCTAGGATCCAACCAGAAAGGCGGAATGGACACTGATCAGACAATCTAGGTGCTACGCCCCCATCACACGTGTGACCTGGGACTACTCCTCACCTCTCTGCAGGCAAAACAACTCTGGAGACAAGTACAGCATTCCCATTTTAGAGATGTGGAAACTGAGGCTCAGAGATGGGAAGTCCTAGGTCTGTCTGACTCCCAATGCCAGCTCCTCTCCACGCAGCACATGCTGCCTCACTCAAGATCTGCTGTCCACACTCCACCCACCCTGGAAATGCCCTCAGAACAAAGTGGGCCTGGAATTCTCTTGCTGGGAGCCAGACTTCCATGACTGGTACTTGGGCACATGTGTGTCCACATATGGCCTCACAAACCCACCCAGGCTTCAAGGCTACACTCAGTCCCCAGCTCCCAGTCATCTCAACTTATCAGACCTCAGGGCCAAACCCACATCTCCCGTGCACCTGCCTTCTCTGGGGACAGGCCACAGCTATCTAGTGCAAGGCTCCTGGCCCCACTGCCAACCGGCTTACTCCCTTCCATCTACTTCTTCCTCTCATCCCCATGGCAACCACCCACTTCATCCCCTGTCACCTTTCTCCTTAAACTCTGCCCAGCCTCCTCCATGATCTCCCTTGCCTTGAAGATCCCCCCTTCATCCTTGCTCCCCAGAGCAGCCAGAGTGATCTCCAGACTGTATCATTTGCAGCTCACACCCTTTCTCTGGACAGGGCCCTTAGAAATCTGACCTCAAAGTCATGAGTCCCTCCTGCTCCCCAGTGTGATCCAACAGTGCCCATTACTCACTGTCCCTGAGAGAACCTTGAAGCTTCCCCCTCCACACCTCTGCACGAACTGTGCCCTCAGCCGTTCACCCTTTCCATCCCCTGCACCTGTCAAAATTATCATCCTTGAAAGCCCTGGCCAGATCATCTCTTAGGTGCCACCTTCCCTGATCTGCACTTCAGCTTGCATGGTGTCCCTCCTCGGGTACCTAGTAGCGCACTGTGGAACCACAGCCACACCCCATAGGAGAGGCTGCTGTGTCTCTCTCGTTCCTTCGTCCCGACACTGTAAGTTCCTTCTGCCACGGATGGGACCAGCTCATCTGAGGCCCCACTTCCCTATAAGAGGCGTCCCATCCCTGCCACTGAGAGTTCTGGAGTGGGCTGGGGGGCCAGCAGGGCAAGGAAGCTGGGACTGTGCATCCTTTGTTCCCGCTCAGGCAGGAGCAGAGAAGGTAGTGGAGTACAGGGGCTCAGGCTGACAGCCCTGCTTAGTATCTTTCTCCTCCTTCTTGCTAACAGACACATTCACTTCCATATTTTCTTTCCCCTTCCTCTGAGCCAAAGAGCGGAAATTCTCATTTTCACTGCGGTAGACAAGTGAAACCAGAGAAAGAGACCCTGGTGAGCGTGTCTGGGTGTGAGCGTATGTGTGTGTGTGCCGTCCTGTCTGAGTATGTCTGGCTGGGGCACGTGGGGCCTGCCATGTGTCTGTAGGAGTTTGGGTGTGTGTGCACGCGTCTGCCTGTGTCTTGTGGTGGTGTATGTTTCAGTGGAGGAGTGTGTCCGCATGAATCTAATGAATGTTTGGGTCGGTGTGTGACGTGCGTGGCTCTCAGAAGGGTGCAAGGCTGTGTGGGGCTAGGTGAGTGTGTCTGTGGTTTCTCCTCACTATCCTCTGGGGTCATTGTGTGTCCAAGCGTTTGTAGGTGTTCACCAGTCCAGTGGGAAGCCAGTGAGGGCGCCTATGCCCTAACCAAGACCACCAACCATGGTGTCTCTCCAGAGATCAACAATTCCTGCCCTGAGGCCCCATCAGCTTGGGGCAGTAAAAGGATCAGTCGATCTTAGCTCAGTCCCCAGAGAGGGACCTCAGGCTGCCTGACCCTCCAGCCATCCAGCTCCACGGCCCCCAGACCTTTCAAATGCCCAGTACAGCTGCTGGGAGGCTGTCCTTGCTAAAGGGACTCTGCTAAGAGGAGTGGATGGGCCCCTGCTGCCAGCCTGAGCAAAAGGTGCTGACAGCAGATGGGAGGGATGATTTCTGGTTGTTCGGACAACCCTAAGGAGGTCAGCTGCATGTCTGTGTCAGGAACCCAGCATGGCCTCACACAGGCACACACACGTGTGCGCACACATACAACCAGCAAAGTTTTCCCCATGGCAATGGTGTTCCTGGGCCCCTCTGGTTGAATAGCATTTCTCTACCTGGAGGATTTCTGGGGCTAGGGTGGCTCCAGACCCAGGGCAGAGACACTGGGAGGTTGTTCTGGGGCCCTGGGACCCCAGTTCCTCTTGGCCAGGCAGTGGCTCTCACCCCCTGCAAGTCTCGGTCTGGAGCTGGGGGGATGCTGAGCCCCTGACAGGGACATTCCTGGGAACCTGGCTCCAGTTTGGGGTGAGGGGACTGACAGGGCACCTAGAATAGGAGGAACCTGGGGGCTAAGGCGGAAAACCTTATAACTGGGAGGTCTCCAGCAAATCAGCAATGGCAGAGAGATGGGGGCAGGAGTGAGAGCAGGGAGGATGCTAAGGCCCCTCACTCCCTCCTCTCTCCTCCATCACCCTGCGAAGGCAGCCTTGTTATTCCCTCTTTACAGGTGGGACGGGAGACCAGGAGGTGGTGACACGCCCAGAGCCATCTCGTCGGGGAGGGGGGTGTTCCTCCTGGCACTGTCTGATGCTGGAGCCCTCACTTCTGGGAGAGGAAGGGAGGAGGGGGCTTTCCTGGGATCCTGCCTGGGAGGGAACGGAGCGCAGGGAACGGGATGGGCTCCCCCATCCTAAGGCGACCCCCTGGCCCAAGTCCCCCACCGCGTCCCCATCCCAGAGTCCGAGGCGCCGACCCTGCCGTCCCGCATGGTGCTGGGGGAAGCCCAGCCCAGGTCCTGCCCTCGGATTCCCCCAACCCGAGCCCCAGTGCCCGCCTCCCCGCCTTTACCTGCGGGCGCGGCCGCCGGGCGCCGCTCCCGGCCCTCGAGGGCGGCCCGGGCGGCGCGGGCTCCGCACAGGGGCGTCCGCGGCTGGGCGGGCGGCGTCGGGGTCCGGGGTCCGCGCCGGCGGGGTTCCGCGTCGCTCTGCCGGCCGCCCCTCGCGGCTGCCGGAGTGGGCGGGCAGCGGGAGAGGCGCGTCGGGGCGGGGCCTCCGTCCTCCTCTTTCCACAGCCACGGCCAAGGCCCGCGCCCCGCCCGGCCCAGCGCGGCCTCGGACGGCTGCCTCCCTCCCCGACACCCACGCCGAGCCCCCGCCACACACGCGCTCCTGGACGGCCCGCCCCCACCCCTCCCCGTCCACCTGACCCGCGGCTCGGCCACCGGGGAGTCCGCGCAGCCCCTGCCCTCGAGAGGCCACCCGCCTGGCTGGACGGACGCGGCTGCTGGGAAGGACGGCCAGGCGCGGTCCTGCAGGGAAGGGGCAGCTCGGGCTGGCGGCCCCCCACTAAGGAGTCCCCAGAAGGCTGCCTGCAGACGTGACCTCGGTAGGCTGAGCCCGGAGGACTCACAGGGGCCAGTCGTGGTCCGCACATTCAGGCTTTAGGGCATTGAACCGGGGTCACAGAGGCAGGCGGAGCAGGCTGAGGCTGGCCAGACCTAGTCCCCGGGAAATGGGGAGTCACGGAAGGCTCTGGAGTGGGGCAGTCATGTGGTCAGATTTGTGTTTTGGAAAGAGCCGCCCAAAGCTGTGTGGAGGAAGATAGAGGCAGGACACCGAGGAGGCTGCGGGAATACCCTGGCATGGTCCCATGAGGTGGACAGTGAGGGGGAAGGGAAGGGAGGTCCCAGTGTGAGGGGAGTGAGGAGGTGAACTAGGCAGAGTTTGGGCGAGGGGCCTAGGAAGAGGCAGTGTCAAGGACAGTGCGCAGGCTTTGGGCTAGGCCTGGGTGCGGTGGGGTCTAGCAGAAGGAGGAGGGCGGATGCAATAAGCTGGATGAGCCTGTGGGACTTCCACGGATCCGGAAGGGAGGTGAGAGTTCTGGGAGAGCGAGGAGGAGTCCACAGTTTGCAGATGGCGACTGATGCCATAGAGTAAGGAGCGGGCCCAGGGAGGCGGGCAGGGCACAGCCAGGACACTCATCAGCATTCACGGGGCTGCAGAGGAAGAGGGGTCGGCAAAGGAGACTGAGCAGGTGGCAGGGACCGGGAGAGCAGTGGCCCAGCAGGCAAAGGCAGAGTGCTTCTAGAAGTCCAGGGAGGCTCGCAGGATGGGCTGTCAGAGAAGGACATCCTTAGGGACAGCAATTAAGGGTTGGAGGTTGAGGTGGGGGTAGGGGCAGTAGCCAGGCAGCAGGGGAGGAAGGGGGAGGCAGCAAGGGCAGGGGGAAGGGGAAATGAGGTCAGGAGAGGACTCTGGGGTGTGGGTGTGTGTGTGCGTGTTTGTGTGCGTGTATGCATGTAGGTTGGTGTGGGCGTGGGTGTGTGCGCATGTAGGTGGGTGTGTACCTGTGTGTGCATGTGTGTATGTGTGTGTGCGTGCCTGTGTGTGTGTGTGCACACGTGCATGTAGGTGGGTGTGGGCATATGTGGAGGTATGTATGCTTGGGTGTGTGTGTGTGCGTGTGTGTGCATGGGTGTGGGGGAGTTTGCATGTGTGTGGGTGTGTGGAGGTGTGGGGGGTGTATTCCTGTGTGTGCATGTGGGGAGGTATGTGTGCATGGGGGTGGTGTGGGGGGGTGGCTGTGTGTGGGGGTGGGAGTGTGGGTGGCTATATGTGGGTGTGTGGATGTGGCTATGTGGCTTTGTGTGTGTGTGTGTGTGGCTGTGGGGGTGTGTGTGTGGCTATGTGGGTGTATGTACATGTGACTTTGTGTGTATGACTGTGGGGTGGGGGGTGTGTGGCTGTGTGAGTGGGAGTGTGTGTGTGTGGCTGTGTGTGACTGTGTGGGTGTGTGGGTGTGGCTGTGCATGTGGCTGTGTATGGGGGGTGGGAGTGTGTGTGTGGCTTGGTGTGGGTGTGTGTGGTTTCGTGGGTGTGGGTGTGGATGGGTGTGTGTCTGTGTAGGGGGATGTGGGTGGCTGTGTGTGTGGGTGTGTGAGTGTGGCTGTGTGTGTGTGTGTTTTCTAAGCAGGAAAGAGCAGAGCCTTCACCAGGTCCAGGAAAGGAGCAGGGAGGGCCCCAGGCTGTCTCGGGTCAGGGCCCACCCCCCTCAACCTTCCCCCTCCTGCTGCCTGCCCTCTGAGGGCCTCCCACTTTTCTGTCCCCCTGCCAAGGTACACACCAGCCCCGCCGCTCCACAACGGGGCCTCTCACCCTCACCTACCGTCAGAGCCTGGCCTACTCCATCCCACCCGTCAGAATTGGGGGTAATTGCCAGGGGTCTTTGGGTGTGGCCTCCTGGCCTGAACTACAGGGGACCCAGACTAGGGCGCTGCCCAGAGAAGGGAGGGGTCCTGGCTGGCAGGGTGCCAAGGAGGACACCGACTGAGGGGGGATTACTGAAGCCTGACCCTGAAGCTGGTGTGGAAACTGGACCCTGCGTGGGGATCTGATGGGGGTTGAGTGTGCCTGGGGATAGAGGGAAGGGGTGGAAGCTAGGCAGCAGGGACTAAAGGTTGACAGCAAAGACCCTGGAGTTAGACTGCCTGGGTTCAAATCCAAGTGCCACCACCCACCAGCCACATGCTACTGGGCAAACAACCCCTGGTGCCTCAGTTTCTCCATCTGGGAAGCTCTCATAGGCATGTTGTGAGGATGACAGTCAATCCATGCAGAGCACTTTACTCTGAGTGTGAGCTGTTCAGAGAGAAGGGAGGGAGGGCTGCATGAAGTGGGGCCTGGTGACACAAGTGGGCAAGGGAGAGACACGCTGTATGGGGAAGGGGCTCCCACGGGCTTCACACCCACACTCGGACACAAATTCAGCCGGTCCCCCACTCAGATCCCACCCCTGGGTCTCCTGACTCACTCCTTACACTTTTCCTGGGGTCCTCAGGCCTGATTCTATGGGGTACACACCTGTCCCAGTCCCCTCCCTTTTCCCCCAACCCCTGCCCCACCTGCCCCTGCCCAGTGCCTTGCAGGGAGGGAGGGCTGCAGCTCCTTCTCCTTTCAACCAGCCCTGGACGCCAAGTCTGGGCCCTGTCTCGTGGCCAGGTGTTCACTGGCCATCAGGCGCCTCCCCAACCCCGAGAGGTGCCTCAGTTCTCCATCCCCCAGTAGAGGCTGACAGCTGTGCCATGACCTTGTGGCCGCTGTCTCCTTATCCACCAGCTATTTGCTCAGCGGTCATGGACTCTCACACCAAGGCTCATCTCTTGACTAGACAAGGCCAAACTCCCAGCCACACTCCTCACCCACCCCTACTAGGGGCTTCCACCTTGGCCTGTCTCTGGTGGTGTCTGGATATCAGTGGGTCAGCTCTGCCTATGATCACCTGCTGTGTGGCCTTGGGCAAGTTGCTGCCCCTCTCTGGGCTTCAGTTCCCTCAGCCACAACAATCAGAAGCTGGCCAGCAAGGCTTCAAGGACTACTCTAGGCCTGGGCAGGGGCATCAAATGGGGTGGGTGGTTAAACTGAACCAGACGCAACATGTAACTTGCTTAGCACGGCCCGTGGCAGAGTCAGCTCTGGCACCAGCCTGGTGGTTCAGACAGTGGGCTGAGGAGTCCGGCAGACCTGGGTTTGGATCCCAGTGCTGCCTGTCTGTAGCTGTGGGCAAGTGACCTCATTTCTCTAAAACCTCAAATTCCTCCTTTATGAAAGGGGGATAACAGCCCCTGATGACGAACAGCAAACACTCAGGGCTCTTGCCCCATGCCAGGCACTGTTCTGAGCGCTTTATGTGGATTAACTCATTTAATCCTTACAACAGCTCTTTGAGGTTGGTCTCCTTATTGTCCCCACTTTGTAGATGAGAAAACTGAGGCATAGAGGGCTTAACTAACTCACTCATGGCCACACAACTGGGAAGAGAGAGCTGGGATGTGGCTCCAGGCAAGCTGGCTCATCATCTTCCACTTTACCATTGTGCTATCCCGTCTCTTAGAAGAGATAGTGAGCTCTGCCTGTAATCCTAGCACTTTGGGAGGCCTAGGCAGGCAGATCACAAGGTCAAGAGATCAAGACTATCCTGGCCAATATAGTGAAACCCTATCTCTACTAAAAATACAAAAATTAGCCGGGAGTGGTGGCAGGTGCCTGTAGTCCCAGCTACTCAGGAGGCTGAGACAGGAGAATTGCTTGAACCTGGGAGGCAGAGGCTGCAGTGAGCTGAGATCGTGCCACTGCACTCCAGACGGGCAACAGAGCAAGACTCCATCTAAAAAAAAAAAGAGAGAGAGATAATGAGCTCTCTCCACCAGGTGAGGATACAAGAAGACACATATCTATAAACCATGAAGGGGCTTTCGTCAAAAACCTGACCATGCTGGCACACCGATCTCAGACTTCCAGGCTCCAGAATGATGAGAAATAAATGTGTAAACCAAAAGAGAGAGAGAGAGAATAATAAAGGGCTTAATACAAGCCTGGCACATAGTAATGGGTCAATAATAGTTGGGCATTTAATAATAATAAATGCAGTCACAGAACTTTGGGAGGCTGGAGCGGGAGGATCACTGGAGCCCAGGAATTTGAGACTGCCCTGGGCAATATAGTGAGACCCTGTCTCTCAATAAATAAATTAGCTGGGCTGGCCAGACGCAGTGGCTTACGCCTGTAATCCCAGCACTTTGGGAGGCCAAGGCGGGCAGATCACCTGAGGTTAGGAGTTTGAGACCAGCCTGACCAATACGGAGAAACCTCGTCTCTACTAAAATACAAAATTAGCCAGGCGTGGTGGCGCATGCCTGTAATCCCAGCTACTCAGGAGGCTGAGGCAGGAGAATCACTTGAACCTCGGAGGCAGAGGTTGAGGTGAGCAGAGATTGCACCACTGCACTCCAGCCTGGGCAGCAAGAGTGAAACTGTGTCTCAAATAAATAAATAAGCAAGCGGGATGTGGTGGCACACATCTGGAATCCCAGCTACTCAGGAGGCTGAGGTGGGAGAATTGCTTGAGCCCAGGAATTTGAGGCTACAGTGACCTTTGATCATGTCACTGAACTCCAGACAGGGTAATAAAGTGAGACCCTGTCTATAATAATAATAATAATAATAATAATGTTAGTAATCCAGCCAGGTGCGGTGGCTCACACCTGTAATCCCAGCGCTTTGGGAAGCCAAGGTGGGTAGATTGCTTGAGGTAAGAAGTGTGAGATCAGCCTGG